TTACTAAATTAAAACTGTATTTTGTACGATCCAAAAGTGTAACAAGAAGCCCGACAAGGGGTATGTATTCGTTTATTTGATAAGAATGTATTAGTGTAAGTAACTTACGAACTGTTTTTTAAATTTATTTTTGTTTGTTACAGTTTTTTATTATTACCCTTATTTCATCAATAAATTATACTCAAGCTGATCAGCCTATTTAATTGACCCAAGCACCGAACCCGTAACACTGGCGCCGCAACGTGGTTGAAAAATAGGCTGACTACTGCAATAGAAGACAATAGTGCACACTTTACGACCAACACCACAATCACATTTACTCACATAAACAGACAATAGACGTTCAGCGTTACTTTGGCTGGTCACAAATGTGATCGGTTCTGATGCCATTGTATCGAGGAACATACAAACACGTACTCAACATAGTGTTATTAAGCAGGAAAATTTTAATAGTAAATAATTTAATTTAGATTCCGTATATATAAAGGTACGTAAGCTATTTTTTTTTTTTCAAAAATTTTATGAGATTTCTTTTTGACGAATAATATTATTTTTAATATTTAAAAAATAGAATATTGTAATTTATTTTCCGTTTACGATTTGACATTCATTTCTTTTATAATAATCAATTTTAATCATGGATATATCGTACTTGAATAAACCAGAAATTATTTATGAACTGAAATTACGAAACGCGAATTTTGAATCCACCCAAACGGCTCAAGAATTGCGTGAAATTTTATTACCAATGATAGGAGACCTTGAGAAATATTCTTGGATTACTTATTTATTTATTGTTACTACCCTGTAAATACTCATAACGTTTTCATTTAATTATTTGGCTACTCATACTTATTGTTATTTTTATTATTTTCATCTAGTGCGGTTGACAACACTATAAATAAGCCAATGTCAAAATACCAATTTAGTGCGGACGACAACACTATAAACAAGCCAATGTCAAATATCAATTTTAAAGTGCGGTTGATAACACTATAAATAAGCCAATATCAAAATATTTCTTTGTGTACTTATGTATACTTATTTACTTACTATCTAACACTACATAATGTATTGTTATACCTAACGCATTACCTACTTTATTTATTACTACGATTGTATATTATTCTACACTCTACATTTAGACACTTACACAACACACTCATCTACACTCAACAACACTACACAATTCACCTAAAGTCAGCGGGTGGTGACTGACATTATTTTAAAGAAGCCTACACTATTTTCTAGGTCGATTTATTAGAGATAATCTTTCTTAAATACAAGTTACCTCTAATTGCTAGGAATTTTTATCTTAATAAGATAAAGATTGTTTGAATGATGTTTGAATGATGAAGTAAGAACATTTTATGAAAGGGAAATCGCCTAATGTAATTTATCCACTATATATACCATCCCCATTTCTAAATTAAATCATGATAGCATTAATTAATCACAGTTTATATAAAATATTTTAAGCTTGAGTAATCCAAGAATATCTAAAAAAAAATCTTTCAGATTTTTTTTAACCCCGGCCCCCCCGGTATTGTAACGGTGTGCCATGCCACCGTTTGTTTTCCTAGGTTTCAGTATGCAAACTTTTTGCTTTTGAAATTCAACATCATTTCATTTTACTATTCGTCTTTCGTAATTTAAAATTTTGACTAATCAATTTTACTCTTTATGGATGTCAGTTCGTAAGAAATTCTCCTATACACAAGATGAAATTATAATATAATACAATATTATTGGTATAAATTTTACTATGTAATTTTAATAATTCATATATTATGGTGATACAATAATATAACATATTTACTAAATTAAAACTGTATTTTGTACGATCCAAAAGTGTAACAAGAAGCCCGACAAGGGGTATGTATTCGTTTATTTGATAAGAATGTATTAGTTTAAGTAACTTACGAACTGTTTTTTAAATTTATTTTTGTTTGTTACAGTTTTTTATTATTACCCTTATTTCATCAATAAATTATACTCAAGCTGATCAGCCTATTTAATTGACCCAAGCACCGAACCCGTAACAACTATAATGATTGATTATGGCATAACCGAATTGTAAGATTTATAATTTGAAAATATATTGATTTTTGTCACCTTTCTATATTTTTAGTGTGTAATCGTACAATCTCGCAAAGTCAATAAGACTAATAGTGTTACTTTTTGAAGATTTAATTACATTTTACCATTTATTGTTAATTTAATAATTATTAAAATCTAAGATCGAAAGTTTAAGTTTTGATAATTTTATTAAAAGAGTTGAGGTATTTAAGGTACTTATATCAATCCTAATCATTATTTTAATAGCAAAGAAATTTGAAAGAGTAAAACACTAGAACATTCTTAAGTGTACTATTTTCCCATCCCGGAGTTATATATTTTTAGCTAAAATATGATTACTTAAGATAATATCATTAGTGTAATCAAAACATCATTAGTGTTTAATAAGATTTCATTCGTGTCATCACCCAACTCATTTGTGTAACATAAATTTTGATTTTCTATTAGTTTGAGCAATAACCTCTATGTAATTTATGATTATTCGTGTATCATTTCAAAAAGAAAACAATCGAGGCCGTCAGTTGTGAAAAAAACGCATGTTTACCAAAATCAATAAAAAAGTGTCATAAAAATTCGATGCGTGAAATCGACCCGTGACGATCGTATTTAATTCCATTTTTAAAAATTTTCAATTTAGAAAACCAAATGCCGAGTTGTGGTATAAATAAGTACACCAATCATATATCATATAAAAATAAAAATTTTACCTTTTGTATGGAACAGCTGATATTTTTTGCGATTTCAGAGGTAGCCACATAGTGAAAATTGTTCATATTCACAAGTACATTCACCCCTTAAATGGTGCAAACTGATTTTTCTACACTAGTATACATTTTAGAAATCAATTTAATAAATTAATTTTTGGTTCCTAAAACTACATTCGATAAAACTTATGAATTTCTGCACATCACTTATGAATCTCTGCACATCACTTATGAATGTCTGCACATCACTATCGTCAATAAAGTAATGCAATTATTTCCTTCAAAGTCGTTATCAATTAATACGGAACTTCATGAGCGGACAAACGTCAAAACGGCCATCATAGCGTGCCGCCAGTTTAGAAGGCGAGTCTAGCAAAAGTTGATTTTTGCAGAAAACGAATGGACCACAGAAATATATCTAGTTAGAAGGAAAAAGTGTACGTACTTCGCGTGCCGAAACGACGTCTAGACAGCTTCATTGCTCGCCGCGAGGCTCAGTCCGCTTTCGATCGCAATCGGTGTTGGACGAAATTTAAAATGAGGCGTTGTTCGATAATTACCTGCTCAAACACCACCAATATGGTTGGATCTTATAGTCGAGGTATTTCCTTCCATCGGTAAGTAACTATTTGCCTTGATATATCTATTTTGAATTAAAAATCATTAGTTTTGTTGCTCCGTATTATTTTTATCAAAACGGTCATGTGTCCAGTAATAGCTTTCCATTGCGGCTTTAATTTGACAGTCCAAATTTGCTGTACTTGTAAAACCATCGATGTATAATTCAAGGTCAATTTGTTGGAGGACAAATTATCATTTTTTCTGTCAAAAATGGAGAATAGTGCTGTACAATGCGATTTTTTTACCCGATTAAAAAAATATCGTTTTTGAAAGCAGAAGAAAGGATAATTAATTTTATATTGAATTATACTGTAATTTTTGTTTTAGTTTTCCGTATGATCCTAATATTAAAAATAAATGGATTGAAGCAACAGGACTCTATATATATATGTATGTAGGTATACTTACTGGACATGGAAACTTTAACAAACACCTATATAACATGGGTTATTCTGACAGTCCTCTGAGCAGGGCGTGCATAGCCATTCCAGTATCACATAAGCGCTTGTGCACTCATGTGATACTGGAATGCAGGAGCCTATTAAGACAAAAGGACTACATATCTATGAAGCCCAAGGATACTAGTGGAAGCATGCGGCAGAGTTCGAGATCTTACGGGCTTCCTGGAGGAGCTGGGGTGGCAGGACTAAAGCAACCCCGTGTCATGCAAAATAGGCACTGAGTATCGAGTTGCAGAAAAGCCCGTCGTGAAACATAACATAACAACACAGGACGTAAAAATGTGTAGCGTGTCGGGAGGGGGTAGCGACTACTACAAAGTGTTTGCCCACAGAAAAATGCCGATTTCTATTCTATCGCATAAAATCTTTTTTGCGCCGATTCTCGTGAGTTCGTGACATATACATAATATTTAAGCAAAATGGTAGTCACGGCTAGCAGGTTATTCACGGCTTGTTGTTTGTGCAACAAGGTATGATCTTGAATGTTTAAATATCAGTTAAAAGGTTTTTAAAATGATGGAAAAGAATCGTGAATCAGCCTAGATATGCTAAGCATGCAAAAATAGGCAGCCGAAAACAGATAATCAAAACACTCCAATTCATTTACAAACGGTACGTACCGAAGAAGTACTTAATAAACAGTCGAATTTGAATGATCTGTCACGTGATGAGAGCTGTAATGTGACACTACGCAACAAGTCTGTGTAATGTTAGTTCAAGCCTGTACAACATTAATTCCTGAAATCTAACTAGATATCGCTACAGTACGTTCTTGATTTCTCCATGATAACCTTTCCGGTTTTCTTTCATGTTTAAAAGTAAATTAGTTTTTCAAAACTCAATAAATAACTCATATTCTATTTGTACTTTTTCGTACTTGTATTGATATCTAAGTTTCGAACATGGCAAATTTTAGTTTTTTAAATATTTTAGTTAAAAGGAACGGAAATGACTTAATTTTTTTTCTCAAAAAACTTTCTTGCTAAATGAATACGGTGTATATTTATATCATAATTTATTTATGTTTATGACCCATACTTAAAGAAGATTAGGCTGTATGAGTAAAAGATCTTTTGCTTTAGTTTTATTTGATAATGGACAATTGACATTGACAAACAATCATATTATTCATTGACATATGTCACAGACAGCTGGCCGTGAGAGGAAGAAAGTTTGAAAAATTAAAATTGCAGCCCATTTACTTTTCGGAGTTAGAAGTCTTTTCAGAAATTAAAGCATAAATTTTAAATACTGTAATTGTTCACAAATACATAATGGCATCAACAGCGGTTCCTGCAAAAGAACGAACCATTCCGAATGGATTAAAATTTGTTTTCGGTGGCCTTGCTGGGTAAGTATGATTTCTTAGATTTATTTTAAGATTACTACTTGTCCTTTATATAAGTGAATGTCATGGACACTATTATCAGATTATTATTAAACACTATTATATTCATTTAGCTTCTTACTCACATAAATAGTGCAAAAATATCACAGTACTAATAATTATATCCTTACATTCTTGATAATTACCTACCGCACTTGCATATATTAGATGACCTTCAATATTTCCGTACTTTTATTGATCTTTATAAATTATTTACGATTATGGAATAAACATAATACTACATAAAGCTTTACAATCTTTAGAATTAAAGATATTTGTTTTGTGTAAGACACATGGAATACCATTTAAATTGGAAAAAAACCGATAAAAAAAGTATTTTTTCATATTTGCATGTGCTAATAATGATATACTTAAATAACTTTTATTTTTTACCACTGATACCAGATATTCAATTCACTATATTATTAGATTTATATGACTATTTTATCATTGATAAAACCATTGTTAATTATCAAACTTACACATTATCATTGTCTGTGATGAAATCTGCAGGTGGACTCTTAATACCAATGTTCTATATATTATGAACTTCTATTTATTTATTCTTCTTCTCTATTTTCTGTCCTACTCTAATGGTCTGTTTCTAAATTGAGAAAAGTATAAAATCACAACTGATTATTCTCATTAACTAAGCTTTTTACATTTCACATGGTAAAAAGTCCTAGTTTTATCAAACTGCTTTCAACTGATCATTAAAAAAAAAATCAGAAACTAAAACCTGCTTAAGTGACTTTTAAGTTGGTTCAGTGTTCAGAATTCATTTATTCATACATTCTCAATTCAGAAACTGGTTATAAGACTATGAAAACATATAAATTAGAAACGGACACAAAACCAAATTTTGATTGGTGAAATGTTAGGTTGTTGCTGTTGGTTCATTGCCTTGTCTTACTTTGAGGTGAGATTCTAGTAGTTTGTAAATATTTTTTCCTTTAAAAAATAAAATCTTGTGTTATAAGTAGTAAAAATTTTGGTTTTACCATTTTTGCCTACAGCTGGCACCATTTAGTGATGGATATATATGATAATTAATTATTTTTAGAACTAAATATTTGGGTATATATATATTTTGTACCAAAAATAAAATTTAAGCCATAATAAATATGATCTAATATGAGTGTCCCTCTAAACTAGAAATTTTCAAGCTAAAGTGTCCTGCATATTTATTTTGATGGTCAATTTTGATACCTTATATGGTCAATATAAGGTTGAGATTGCTTTTCAAAAATAGGTACAGGAGTTTTATAAGCCTTTTTCTTGCATTTTAGACCCTCGATTTTATATAGCTTTTTAAGCTATATAAAAAGCAGTTTTTTCTTACATCTAATGCACATAGCCCAAATTTGTTATTCATACTAACCCATTTCTCTATTAATAAGTTTTCAATTTTCCTTTTTTTTATTATACAATATTAAAACAAATGTTATTTTAAATAATGAACTACTTAAATCACTTGTCAAAAGTCTGTTGCATGTCACCACCATGATATATTATTCAGCAAAAACAATGGGTTGTACTGTTAGGATAATGGTGACTTCTCTTTTTTTAATATTCCTTGTTTTATATAATTCTATATTTACCTAAAATGTTAGATCAACATGTATGATCTTACTGCTTCATTTTAATTTTGTATTGGCAACATAGGGTACTGATTTTGGAGGTATTTAAAAGAAAAAATATAAAATATTGCTAATATGTTTGCAAAGTAGGGAATTATATAGAATAAGAAAACTTACAACATCACTTACAATGTCAAAACTTATCTTTCTACCTTCATAGGTAGAAAGGTTATTTTACAAAATTATGTATATAGATAACATAGATTTTACAAAATTATATCTAAAGATATAATTTTGTAAAATCTATGTGTCGAACCGTTGAACCGTTCTGATCACAGTATTCTATAAATAAAAACCAATATGACTATATTGTGAAGTGTATTTTTTTTTATAAATCTACTTATATAACAGTGTTTTCTTTTGTGGTAGTCATAGACAATAACCTATTGTCTAGAACAATAATTCTCAGGCTCCTTAGCTCACTATGAATAATAATTTTAATTATTCAAATGCTAATATGAATATTTACACTTGTAACAGTTCTATAAACTATTTTTTCTGAGACGAATAAATTGTGACTAAATTCAGTAATAATAATAATAGCAAATTAAAGTCATTGTTATCTAATAGATCATAACATTTAAGTTGAACTGTGCACACTAGCCCGTTTTCGGGTGTCAATCGAAGTTCGGGGTTGAGACGCAGTAGTCCATGACCTGTGCATAAACGCGGGAAATCGCCATTTTAGTTTAACTTGCGTGACGCGTATTAAAGTTATCATCACAATAAATTCACTTGCAATATTTGACATACCTATAACCCGTAAGAATTAACATGAGGGTCTATTATACATGTCAACAAATTTGGAATCGGTTCTTATACCTAATTGTGTTATAATTATATTAGTGAAGATTATCTGTACATTACAGGCAGTGTGAGGTTCTACCATCGTTGCATCATTAATTATAGAAAAACGTGTTTTAGCATTTCGAAAATAGATCAATAAATATTGTTTTCGGAGAAATAGGATAGACCTTCAAGTGTCATATTTATTCGTTCGAGTAGTTCATATAGGTTCTTAAACTGCAAATCTGCACGTTAAATAAAAGCTTTATATTTATTGTCTTGTAGGATGGGAGCAACTTGTTTTGTTCAACCGCTGGATTTGATTAAGACTCGGATGCAGCTGAGTGGCGGCGGAAAGTCATCTTTCACTGTGGCGAGTGAAATTATAGCCAGGGAGGGTTTTGGTAGTTTGTACACTGGCCTTTCAGCGGGATTGCTCAGGCAGGCCACTTATACCACCGCGCGGCTCGGTATATACAGCTATCTCTTCGAGACTTACCAAAGGTAAGTGGCGGGGCTTGCTTAAAAATATGTCTTAATATGCATACGCGGCATGCGGCGGGAGGGATAAGTTTTTAAAACACTAAGGGGCCGTGATGTTTTTTCAGCATATTTAAACACCATCGATCCATTTTGAGGTTTAACACTACCTCCCCTCCCCCTCCACCAAAATGACGTGTATATTTTAGTGCGTACAAAGATCTTAATTTTTGACGCCGATTTTCGTTTAAAGGGTATTACTAAGCGATATATCGTGGTTTTTGACGGACCTCCTCACTCCTTTCGAACCTCAAGTGATTAATGGATGGCTTTATTTGAATTTAAATGTCGCTACTATCAATTTTTACCCCGGTTTGAAAAATAATAGATAAGGCATTGTTCGTAATTATGTTTTATATAATGCTGAATTCAATCGCCATCTTGGTAGAAAGTATGAAATATTGCTTTAAATATAAATACATAAGAATTTTATGAATTTTATTTTATGACTTAGATTTTTAACAATAATAAGTTAAAAAAAGTGTTTAAACACAAAAAAATAAAAAATAAACTGTAAATATACAACTGTATACTCCTACTTTAAAAAAAAAAACTATTTAGTATGAACCAATACACCAAAATATATTTATAATAATATCTTATTACAGATCTAACAATAATGTGGCTCCAAACTTTGGCATGAAGATGGCGTTGGGGGTATTAGCTGGTGGCACCGCTGCGCTAATTGGCACTCCTGCTGAGGTAGCGCTTATTCGAATGACAGCTGACGGACGACTGCCAGTGGAACAGAGGAGGAATTATAAAAACGTCGTTGATGCAATTGTCAGGTAGAGTATACTTATGTCAAAGTAATATTTTTTCTTATACTTTATAGGTTAACGCTTGACTACGATCCCACCTGATGGTAAGTGGTGATGAAGCCTTGGGTGGTATTGCGCATTAACCTAGTATCAGTCTAATTACTCTTGATTTGAAGACATTCACATTATAATCGGACGGAAATACGGACGCTGGTAATTTATTCCAGTCCTTGGCGGTACGTATTATGAATGACGAATCGAATCGCGCCTTTCTTACCGTCGAGACGTTGGATGGTAGAACGGGGAGGGGGGAATTAGGTCGTGCAATTCCAGCGCACACTGTACAAAATGTATCAAAAATAAAAAATATATAAGACCTAAGATACCGCTCTTTTTTACTGTTCACTCAATCCTTTACATAATGCTTGTGTATTCAATATAATTTCATTTTGCTCATGGCTCTTATTAAGGTGATAATAGTAACATCCGACGTACAATTGTCAGTAATTAAAGTGGCCTTAATTGTATTTCATTATTAGTTGTATGTAGAAAATAAGAAACTAGAGTAAATTCCAAACTTTTGATGATTTTAAGTTTCCGTCGTGTAGTAAAATAAAAATATCACGTACATTACACGGATCTTAAGCTAAGTAATTAAATCTCATTTATACCCAAAAACCGATTAAGGTTTTGTACCTGATGCCCTTTGATGTGTAGTCAATTTGAATTCCACATATTTATATAATGTCCCTTTCACTTCCTAGGATAGTGAAGGAGGAAGGAGTGCTAAAACTGTGGCGTGGTGCCACTCCTACAGTGGCACGCGCTATGGTGGTAAATGCTGCTCAATTGGGGACCTATTCTCAGGTATGTGGTTACTTTTGTAATAGAATCATTCATTGGCAACCCAATTTTGTCTGGACGTGATGATTATAAACAGCAAATCCATCAATAATTGTACAGAAACATTTCTGCATAGAAACTAATTAATAATAATTCCATCTAACAAAAATATAAGTACAACTGAACAGTAAGATTGTGTTAGACAATATTAAAATATGAGGTAACTGATTTAATATTGAGATTGTAATAGAGTGGAGCAGACAATAATCTATATTTGTGAAATAATATATTCTTGATTTAAATTATTATTATTCTAAATCTAAGTTATGACGCTTGTCATCAAATTAAAAAAATATATATCCAAAATATTTAGTCATGCCTTAGATACTGCAAATACTAATTTATTTATATTGCTTATTGTAACGCTGGTTTATATTTACGTTCAAAATGACGAAACATTAGTGACAACATATCTAATCACCTGTTCAGCTATATCGTTAAATGTATAAAAAGGATAATAAAACACTTCTCAGTAGATATATATAACATACATAATGGTGTTATCCATTTATGATTATTATCCTTTCTGCCAGACGCTTCGGTTATCGTTTTTGCCTGTTTTTAAACTTTCTATTTAAGAAAAAGTAACAATCGACATGGGAATTTCGTCAGTGATCCGACCTTTATTTTGTATACTAACTATTATACACCCACTCAAAGATCATATGATTTTTGTTAATGTGTGTATGGTACAACAAAAAATAATCATCGGAAAAATTTACGTTGTAACTATTCCAATTTGTCTTCGTGCCAATTTAATATTAAACCAATTTAAATCTCTGACTTGACTATATGATTCTGGAAAATATTAATCAAAGTCGAAATAAGGACGTTTTGTATTTATTAAAGCTAACAATGATTTGTTTACATTATATCGAACTTAAAAATATGAAGCAGAATATTTTACAACCGAGTTATCTGTTTTCATGAATAAGATCGGAGTTTGTTGCTTTATGACATAAATAGGTGACTGATAACAAATCAGTCACGCAATATCAATATTCGTGTGCGTCGACTTGACCTCACTAAGCCAATAAACTGGAATTACGAATCATGATACCTATATACCTTTGATATATTAGCCGTCAATATCTTTTATCTGGCACTGAGTTTAGCTGGAAAGCAAACACGTAGTAACCCTCAAAACCAAAATGGATATTTAAAGTGGAAAATCTTTATATTTTTCCAAAAATAATATCTTATTTCCATATAAATTGACTAAGGAACACCTTATTTGTTACCATGGACGTTTATAGGAATTATTTATCGAAAAAAATAAAAGCATTTCTGCTCTGAAGATCAATTTTGGTTTTGCGAGTTACTACGCGTTTGCTTTCTAGCGTCGATATGATGTTCGACAACAGTTGCATCGATTTAATTAAATTTGTCTTACTATCGTCTTCCCTTTGAATGAGCCAACTATTGCGAGTTAATTGATGGGCATGAACGACTGTAGATGCACCCGGTACCAACGGCTTTAACTTACTTACCTTCTACTTTATTTTTCTAGTGTTGGCATTAACTTTTAGGACCGAGTTCGTCAACTGTCATTTATCATATGTTCCAGAAATCCACTACTATAATTGTAAACGTCGTTTAAACCGCCGTTCGTAAAATATCTGTTTGTCAGGTAAATTTAACTATCGTTACAACACAATAATAATAATATAGTTCAGTAATAATTGTGTTAGTAATAATTGTAAAATAATGTTAGTTAACATATCATAACATTCAACGCGGACTACGTTTTGATTTCTAGAAAACTACAAACAATTCGAATGACCTAAAAAAGTCAAGCAAGAGACAACAAATAATGACAAGCAAAAGTACGATCGATGGGAAGACGATGTTGTGGGGTTCGGTAATGTTTATCGATCGGAAATATTATAAAGGAATTTCATCGTCGGCTATCGAGCGGTGAACACAAAAACATCTTTAACCAGCTGTTTAAGTACTAATCAGTTGGTTAGAAGGTTGATGAAGTCGGGCCTTAATTTGTTCCGCACGTTCTTTTCGCATGGATATCCCATTTCGGAAATGTTGGTTTACGATAGCAAGTGCAATAAATTAATAATAAAACTCAATAGATAAAGGTTTCAAATACTTTATTTCATATACATTAAAAAAAAGCGGCGTTTGATGGTAGCCTTTATTTCATTGATTTCGTTTGGTAAAAAAATGGTAGTTAACCAGGGTGGGCGCGCCCAAGTCAAAGTCATATAAGGTCATAGCACCTGACACTGCACGACTCCGACGTTGGGGTCGTGCCATTAAGGTGTACTATGACCCTTTAGTGTTCGATTAAAATAAGGCTTATAGGCTTTCGATTAATTTTCAGGCTCGAGAGATGTTTGTGGCGTACGTGCCTGATGGCATTCCTCTCCACTTCTGTGCTTCTATGTTGTCAGGGTTGGTCACCACCATAGCCTCTATGCCAGTAGATATCATCAAGACTAAGTAAGTAACTTACTTTTACATGCAAAATCTATATTAATCTTTTAAAGAGGAAGAGTTTTGATTGTAAGGATTTGTTTGTGCGTTTGTTCACGTTGTTTAGGCTGCGAAACTGGATCGATTTTAAAAATAGTTATTATTTTCGCGTGCGAAGTCGTAGGAAATCAACTAGTAGTAAATATTTTGATAAAACATTGTTTTTGATCGATTCATATCCTATTACTGCCGAGTGCAATGCGATAGATAAATTTAGTCTATGTGCTTTACGTCCGCTCTTCAACCTGAGTGACAGCAATTACTTTCAATAGCTTTACGTGGTTATCGAACTGTTTATAAATATTGTACCAATACCGTGCAAGGTTATCTGTGTTATCAAAGCACGGAATCAGTCGCAGCCATATATTGTATAATCAATTAAGTGCTAGGTATATATACTTTGATCCGAATTATCAGAACATTATAAGTTTTCATACACTAATCAATCAAAAATATGTTAACAGATCTTTTGCTCAAGTCTTTCATTATAGCATACTAGAGCGAAGTTAAAGTACATATTCTGGTCTAGGGGATTTTTAAGTAATATTAAAATATTGGACATTTTGAATTGTTCGTTTTATAATGTTTTTTTTTTTTATAGAAAGCCGGACCTTAAAATAAATATTATTATATAATAGATTACCTATATGATAATAATTATTATTTAATATTAACAGGTAATACATATATATACTTTGTAATAATTACATATTTTCAGTTTCTATACTAATTGACACTGTACAAAATAATTATATGATAACCGTTTTCAATAGCATTTCTTGAATAATTAAGTCGCCTTTAAGATAAGTATTATTTTCACTTTTTTGAAGTTAGAAGTCGGTTCTATATAAAAAATTCGTTCTTCACTAATTTTTCTCCCACACTACTCATTACATAATATGAATTTAAACGTGTATTTTTTTATTATTACATTTTTCAGGTCTTTCAGATCCTTGGAAGGTTCTGTTTTCTCTACACTATGATATTGGTCCTATTAAAATACTTAAATAAAGCATAGCTACCTTCAAAATATACTTAAATAACTATGGTCACGTTTATTTTATACTTACTGTCATTCATTTAATGTGCTCTAAATTATAGCTTTAGACATAGGCTAATTTAGAGCTTCCTCTACGTGAAAAATTTTAAGTATCTCCAAAGATTACCCCCTACAAACAGACAAGCTAAGTTAGAAACTTTACCGTTTTATTATATTAGTATACATATTTGTTTTCTAAATCTTTCCTTCTTTTCAGAATACAAAACGCAGCGAAAGGTCAAAGTCAAATGTCAGTGGTGAGTAACCTTCTGAAAACCGAAGGTGTCTTCGCTCTATGGAAAGGGTTCCTGCCCTACTACGCTCGTCTCGGCCCCCATACGGTTCTCACATTTATTATATTAGAACAACTCAACGCTGCATATTTAAGATACACGTAACTCAACTTTGCGACATATCCTATAATGGTTAATGCCTGGTCGACCAAATTAACTGCCTTACGAGAAACCTTTAATGATGTTTTGCGAAGCATTATTATTTTGACAAGTTATTTTTTGTAGTCATGATGATTTTAGTGACAGGCATTACCGTTGACTTTCCCTTTTTTAGCGGGAAATTAAAGATAAATACGGCCATATTATGCTCATAAAAATATTGGAGAGCATAATATTCACGATCAGTGCTGTTTTATGACTCATTAGCTTTTAATATTCGAACAAAGATCGGAATGAGACGCCGTCTTTGTCTATGGAGAGCTGTCAAAATTACAATTGAATACATATACATCTAGATTGATAGCGTTTTAGATACTTGTCGTCTTATTATACAACGAAGACTAAGTTTAGAACCAGGTTTAACAGGCCTATTAGAAATACTAACAAAGTCGCTATACGACCGAACAAACTGAGGTCGGACTGTCGGTGCATTGCATTTTGTAATAATTTTGCAGTTAAGTTTTTTATTGAAATAGGATAAAAAATTTGTGTGTTGTAGATAAAAAAGGATATTTTTTCCTCTATGAAGTAATATTTAATCTGGTATGACTTTTGATAAATAACATATTCTATATTAAATTTATCAATATTTAAAATTTTCGAGAGTGCTACGAACTATATGATTAAATAACAGATAACTTTCTATTTTTATTATTTCATTTGTTTAGACTAGTAGCTTAATCCAGGAGCTCAAAAAAGTGCCATCGCGCATTTTATGAAAACCTTTCTCTGCAATTTGGGGTTTAATTAAAATGTTAAGCATAGTTTACAGAAAGCGAATCCGCTTAGAATTATGCTAATGGTTATTCTGTACTACTGAATGAGTCCAAATTATTATTATAATTTAACTAAGGCCCTTAAATCATTATCCGACCAAAATGAGTTCACAGGTCTCTGTATGACGTTTTCTTTTCTGTTATTGTCAATTTACTTTAGACGGTCCACAGTTTAAAACACTTTAGTCCTCGTTTTATGGTACGACGGTTGGTCCAATATTGCAATTTATTATGATAAATTTGAAATATAATCATTGTCTGTCATTGCTAATGAATGTGATATTATATTGTTGAAATTTAAGTCAACACACAAAGCCTTCACTCCGAAATGTGGTAGCTACAAACTATAAAATAAATAAAGGTGCTTATTAACAACTATGACAGCATAGCATATCAAAGTGTAAAATTTGCGTCGTGGTTCCTTTCTAAAATTTATATAATTTTGCCGATGGTACAACACATTGATCTATTTGACTTTTTAAATTTTAATGTTAGTTACTTTTTTAAACAATTATAAGTATGTGCATTTTAATAAAAGTCTGGTCAAATATAAATGTCTAATGTGATCACAGAAAGGTACGTTTGTTGCCATTGAAATGATATATTAATTATCACATTTAATAAACTTTATTAATATTTAATACTTAAACATCAATTTACACTGTGACATTGTTTAATATTACAATAGTTTCGTGTCTAAACAAATGCAGTGCGAAATAAAATAAAATTAAAATACAATGCTCACAGATACATAATGAAAAGTATTTTTATTTGGTTTCAAAAATATACATATTTTATGCAATGAAATAATCACTATGAATTTTGATTTATTCCTCAAAATGTATTTATAAATTCACAAGATTTACTATATGATTAAATTCAATCCAATTTTTGTAAGTCAACTCCAAGATTTAATGTGAGTCTCTGCTCTGCTGTCTCGAGACTGGGTGTTATTGGTTTCGTTATCGTTATGTCGCACTAGTGGTTTCAGTCCTTGCTTTACTAACAAATCCAGATGTTTAATATAACATTCAGGAACAACGGCTTAACTTTTAAATATTAGTTTTTAAAAGGAGATAGCACTATACGTGTCTCTTACTTTGACAACCAACAATAAGCTGCTTTATCGCTCGAATAAGTATAATATAAAAGAATAACTAATATTTCAATAATGCGAACGTAAAATATCTTGAAAATATAGAAATATTTAAAAAAAGTAGAACCGACTTCAAACTTAAAAAAATGTGAAAAATAAAACTATTCTTAAAAGCGACTTATTCAAGAAAATGCTATTAAAGTCGGGCGGAGATTTTCTGTAGGTTATTCATTAAATGAAAGCGCCCGACTTTTTACTAAAAGTACTTTTCTGAAAACCGTGTCAAATACGGTATTATATTCGTACTGAAAAATGCTTATACATCCACCAGTCCCAGGTACCCCTAGATGGGACTCGAACCAACAACCTTTCGCTATCCGGGCGACTGCTCTAACCAGTGAGCTACCCGAGACTCAACAGGACTGAAGAATTTTTCGAGCAATTGTTACTTTCCGCTACAAGTGAGCGTATTTTCATCAATATTCAGGCAATCCCATACAGCCGAAACAAATATTTAAAACTATTTATGCAGTGGAGTTCAAATAAACGAAATTTGCAAAAACAAATAAACTATATCGGTTATTTATACAAATATTAATAAGTAAGATTTACTTTATTATTTAAAATAATATTTCTATTTAATTTACTACTTATATTAAAATTTAAGAGTTATACTAATAATATATGTTGACCCTCGCAAAAAGAAGCTCACTTAACTCTCAGTTTGAAACATATTTATCAATTGGAGACCTCGGTTTTTTATTGTAAAGCATAAAGTATTAATAAAATATTTTAGCTACAATATACTTATTTCAATATAGTTACTCGGCCAGACTTAGTTATAATGTATATATTTATATTTGCTGATGTAGTTGTTCTACTTAATTATACTTTAAGTTGGCTTAAAAAACATATATTTAGCCAAGTGTAATAATATTTTACGCTTGCTTAGTATTCAAATAATACAGGCCTTAAAAATATTTTGATTAAAGTCGAATATTATGTGCCAAAGGTCACTAATTTCTTGTAATTGTTATTTAATTATAGTAAGATTTTTTTATCTATCCAATTAAACTTGATTTACTCATAATGAGATACGTTGATTTTTTATTTATTTTTTTTATGTTATACAATATGTTTAATTACATTTTATATATTTTTATGCTTTAATTGTCAATATTACTATTTCTTGAATGTATTTTTAAAGATTTATTTTGAGAAAATCTCACTTACAATACGCTACTATTTCTAATATCTGAATTAAGTGATCAATGCCATTTTGTACAAACATTTATAACGTCTTTTCGATATTTTTACAAATTTATTATAAACTATAGCTAGTTCTTATATACCTATGGCTGATTTACACGCAATGGGTATGTCGAGTAGTTAATTAATTATAATTAATTAATAACCGGATGTCTACAAAGAGTTAAGACTATCAAAGATTTTAGAGACTAATGCGAAGACCATGTCTTGTTATGCTTAATACTATTTACCTTTCATAAAAATAATCAATTACATATAATAATTGTATGCAAATTTTGATTAGCTTTATATAACGTATGTTACGCAATGGCTATTTAGAAAATGGTCCCTGATGACTAAAATATTAAAAACCTCTGACTTAAAGGAATTGCCGGTATCTTACAAATAATTAATTACTTTACTACATTACACGTGTAAACGCGCTTTTAATAAAGACCAATAGTAGATACAAATATCGAGTGGCGTAGCTTGAGGGGAAGACTAGAGAAGGTGGCAATATGTAAAGAAATAACATCCAGATACCATAGTGTTTATGTTATTTTTCCTATACAATAAAAATAAATAAAAGATAATTGCGAGAGAGAAGTCACCGTTGTTGGTTATGTCACTCACTGTTAGGGCGGAAAACCCGATTTTATCTACTGCCCCCTTTTTGGCCAATTGGCACTTCAAGACGCTCTAATGCATAGGAAATTATATAACTTTTTTTTTAAATGTTATATCATGGCAAAACTAATACCGTTCATAGCTGTGATGTGACAACGTCCACATCTACGTAGTTCTTAAAATAGCCAAAACCGGGTTATCTGCCATAATGCCGATACACAAATATTACTATTTAAGTATCATTATTTACTTGCATTTTACAATGTATTTCGATGTTGTAACGTTTATAATATTCATGTATGACGTATATGGGAATGTTTAGTAAATGAGCTTTTACAATGATATGATTGGGTTTATTATAACAAATACCAAATGTAATTGGGTATTTGTTTCTTTAAATTATACTGAAAACGAGTTATTCCATGTGATATATCGTATTTGATAACAATTTATTGTAATAATTACTATATACATATATATTTTTAGATGCGGTTTATTGTGTGACTAACTTAAGAAGTTTTAGGAAATAGTTAATGGTATGATAATAAAGATGTTCTGTTTTAATAAAGACATATTTTTTTTATTATTTTGATGGTAGAAATTTAATACGTACCTATTTTTAACAATCTCTCTTTTGAAGTATAAAGATAATATTAATAAATTATCTTAATAAAAATGTTAATCTATATGTATATATCTAAATATATATAATTTAAAGGTGACTGACTGACATAGTGATCTATCAACGCACAGCCTAAACCACTGGACGGATCGGGCTGAAATTTGGCTGGAAGATGTTATGACGTAGGCATCCGCTAAGAAAGGATTTTGATCAATTCTACCCCCGAGGGGATAAAATAGGGGATGAAAGTTTGTATGAAACTGTCAATTTTAAACCGATCGGGCTGAGACTTTGCATGTAAGTTACTATGACGTAGGCATCCCCTAAGATTTTGATAAATTCCACCCCCAAGGGGATGAAACTTTATTTCAGGTATTTTACACGATATTATAATTATTCGTTAGAAATGCTGCTTAAAGTAAGTTTACCACGCGGACGAAGTCGCGGGATACCTATATATAAAAGTGAAAGGTCCCTCACTCACTCATCACAATATCTCAGATACTACAAGTGCTAGGAGTTTCAAATTTTGTATGCGCTTTTTTTAGGACGTAGGTGCTCACTAAGGCTAGTTATTTAATACAACATGGGAACGACTTTTAAAATGACTAAAAAAAATTATTATAAAGAAAAAAAATATTATTCGAGTATTATGTTATGAATAAGGTCTAAAATTTATGTAAGTAAACTAACGCTCTTAAATCACCTACCTATCGTTGTAGATCAATAAAACTTCTCTGTGTAGTAGGTCGTTTCATTCGTAATAAGTACTACAGTTATTATATATATATCTATATATATACCATGTGATATATATATATATATATATACTATGTGATATAAGAAAAGATATAAGAAATGGGATTAAAAATCAAATAAAAATTATTGTCAGTATCGATTCTAATTCCGAGTTAGTAGCTCGGCGGCGAAGTGGCAGCCTCAATATGTAGAGCCTCGCGCCTTATGACCCAAAATAAGTTAAAAAAAACTTTATTATTAATAAAACGCAACAAAAATAAAAATATATCTACGGTAATAAAGCTAAATAATGAGAATTAAAGGACTATAGCTGATCAATCATTGCGTATACAGACATATAAGGCCTCGAGTGAATGTTTTCTCTCATATTGTATATATGCGTGGGGTGGTGCAACCTCTACTCATTTAATGCAACTGGAAAAAGCCCAAAGAGCAGTTCTTAAAATAATTTTATTCCTCCCAAGACTGCACCCCACCATTTTGGTCTATGACATGGCTCAAGTGCTAACCGTACGGAAGCTTTTTGTCGCTAGATGTATACGAAGGTTCCATCGGAAATCAATCCTTAAATTGTTATTAGCCCTCAGAAGAAGATCTTGTTGTCCCCAGGTTATAACAAGAAGATCATTTACACAGCGATTATATAATTTTCTTCCACCGAGATTCTATGACAGAATTAAAAATAAAAAGATCTTCGGTTATCTGTTATCAGTGAAGAGAAGTGAAGAAGTAAAAACATATTTAAAACATACCTATTCGTTTCGTACTTAGTAACTACATAAATAAGAAATGTCACTGGGAAGACACTGACTTCTAAAATACAGGTAAAACTAGTTTGAAATTCAGGGTCTCAAATATTTATGTACATAAAGATGTCGATTTTATTTCGATCTTTTCGCTGTTCTCAATCATCAATCACTTGTCTGTAAGTTTAACTTTTTTTTTATGAATTCACAAGAATCTAGGCAACTTAGAAATGATGTCCAAAATGGAAAAAAAAATGGAGCTTATACATAATCTAGACCAGAACCATAAAAAATCCATTGTTAAAATTTTCGCCAATCTCCTATTAGTGTAACACGTTTATATTTTATTTTGTCATGGTATCTCGTAATACAATGGAGATTAACGTAGCGGTTTTAAACTGTTTTATTTTTCTAAACATCTTTATACGTAATTATACTGATGTTAATGCAACAATGTATTGGATTAAATATATAAAAGTTATACATTGATCGGACATCGAATAGTCGCGAGGAGGACGCGAAGCTGGGTTAGTGTTCATACCGCCTCGCTAATTCTATACTTGTAGGACTTCAATTAGTCACTATTGACATAGTTTCAGTACGAGACGGGCAATTCGTGAGCGTTTTTACATGTGCTGTCATATTCAAAATATACTGCTTCAATTGAGTATCTATATATCTCATTAAAATGCCTCAAATTTTATTCATAATATAACAACTTTGGTTTGTTGTTCTAAACCGCGTATTCTTGTGCGTTTCTGATCATTTGCACAGTTAGCGAAAGCAAAAACGCATTGATAATAGTTTAAGGAAATATAAGAAAAAACTTGATTTAGAACATCTTCAAAGTTGTTTAAATTTTTCTGTTCAAAGGTAAAATTAGTTGCGACGTAATTTCCGAAACAAAGATTTTATATATAATTCCAGTGACTTATTAGTTTCAACTAATAATTGATGAAATATCGTTTGAGCAAGTTGAAATCGTATCTGGTGAAGAAATCGGCGAAGATGTTCAACTTGTATCAGCACATGAAAGCTAATAACGAAGGGAAGGAGACCAAAGAGCCAGAGACGACGGGACACGACAGGTTTTATCAAGAGAGACCGAGGACTAGTTACAGGAAGAAAAAGCGCCGTGGTGCATGCCGCCGGGCCCAATCTGCTGCGGAACTAAATCCTGATTCTATTGCCGCGGCTAATAAGAGGAATGCATTCAAAATACGCTCAGTTTCTACTGATAGAGATGAAAGTGAAGGTAATATTTTATTATTGTCAATTGTAGCCCGAAGTATATCCACCGTGGTTTCGCCAGAAGTGTATCAAATGCAAGCTACAATGATACCTATTACTTATATGCTAACTGACGGCTAGTTTTAGTAAAGTCTGTAATTTAAATGTGTAGTCTTGTATTCGTTTATGAATTATAGTCAGCAAAATAAATTTTAATAAAATATATAAGCTCGCGAGTACCTGCCACGTAGACACAAGATTATAGTAGTCAGTAAGTATTTGTTTATCGCAATACACCCGACCATATACCTACAAACACTGTACTTTATTTTAATATTTTGCCGTTTTTAGAACTAACTGATGGATGAGAGATAATCTCTATTTCAGACGCTTTAAAGACTTTAGTAAATACCAGGATTATATGTTACATATTTCACAAAATCAGTAGAATAGTACCTACCCAACTATATCATTTGAGGTCAGTGTCAAATGGTTTGAATTTTGAGGTACTTATATTCTCATAGCTCTAGAATAGATGTAAGTATTCTACTATTGTTAACGTAATTATGGCAGCTCAATGGCGTTTCAATATTGTACTAGATAGTACAAGCGCAAAATGCAATTAATTGAGAACAGGTAGATAATATTATTACTAACAGAGCATAATGCAATGGCCATATATATACATGTTATTTTGTGATCTAGTAATAAGAAATATGTTATAAAAAGTTGCAATTGATGCGCCATTGACGACTTGTGACGTAGCGGGCCCACACTCCGCAACTTTAATGCCTATGTCTATAGTCTATAGAATTTCTTATTCAACTGATGCAAAAAAGATCCATCATATATTCCCATCAGAGCCCTTTTCGGATTATTACGCTACCTACCGTCTTTATAGTAAATATAGTTTTAATATAATCTCTCGACTGTATTATTGTGTTAAAAAACGCTATTGCTTAGGCTTCGATATATATAAAACCGAAAGGTCACTCACTCACTCACTAATCACTTAATCTCAGAAACTACAAGTGCCTAGGAGTTTAAAATTTTGCATGCGGGTTTTTTTTAGGACGTAGGTGCTCACTAAGACGGGGTTTTACAAAATTTGACCCCAAAGGGATTGAAATTAGGGGATGAAAGTTTTTATGGAATTTTCTCATTTCTGGACTTAAAAGTAGATCACGCGAGCGAAACCTGTGTCGGAAGGCTAGTGTATATAAAATTTGGATTCCAATAATTCCAAATTTTTGTATATATATTTATTTTAGAGTTTACTCTCTTGCAAACTTCTTTTTTATTTGATATATTGTATACATTTAATCTTTTAATTTTATATATTTTTGTTTTTGCTGACTCAAGATGCCGGGATCCGGGAGGAAGCGGATGGACCATCATGTGCTTGTAGTTCAAGTATCTTTATTATTTAAATTTCTTTTGTGCTTTCTGTCTCGTAGGTGTTTTTGTATGCTCGTTTACCATAGTAGATTACATTTATTTATCTGTTCATTACTATTAATTATATAATATTTTGCTAGAAATCTTGTAGGTACTGACGTGCAGCCGCCAGGTTACCACAAAATGTCTCTAACCAACCAATTTTGTATTTCACTTTTAATGTACCTAGTCTAGCCATAAATTCTATTACTGGCTGTTTACATACATTAAAAACAACATTTATTTGAATTTTGAACTTAAGCTTCTTCGATAAAAAATAGACTTCATTCCCGCCATTATTGTATGTTTTGAAAATGGAGTGGGGCCCTAAAGAGAATAGGATTGCAGTAATTGCACTGTACAGAGTAGGTAAGAAGCCAGCCGACATTTTTGATACATTGAAAAAGCTAGGGATTAGCCGAATGTTTGTGTATCGTACCATCCAAAGGTACACTGAAACCATGTCTTTTGATGACTGTGAGAGATCCGTCCGACTGCGGTCTATTCGAACAAACCAGGCCGTTAATGCAGTTAAGGCCATAATACGTCGAAATACCATAAAAAAGCAGAAAATCCTTTCCAGAGAAAATGATAATCCCGCCGAGGACACTTTCTCGGATTATCAAACAAGACTTAGGTCTGGGGGCTTACCGGAGATACACAGGACATACCTTAAATCAGGCACTAAAACAGCTGTTACTTTGATACGCGGACGAAAAACACAGAAAAATTGTCTTTACCAATGAAAAAATTTTTACAATCGAGGAGCACTACAACAAACAAAGTGATCGAGTGTATCCACACAGCTCTATAGAAGCTTCCGAGGTAGTGGCCAAAGTTCAGCGAGGCCATCATCTAGCATAAGTCATGGTTTGGTAGGGTGTCTCCTACCAAGAGGTTACAAAACTCCATATTTGCGAAAAAGGAGTGAAAACTTCAGCCAAAGTGTATCAAGGTACCGTGTTAGAAGCGGTAGTTAAACCCCCCTAAGGGTGGACACTTTGAATAACTTGTTTAGTACGTTAACATATATTTTTCACTCTGCAAAATCACATATAAAACTTTAAAATATATTTTTTTTAATTATCGGATATATTCTTTGTAACAGAACTTATGTCTAGACAAGGTATTCAAATTTTAAATTTACTGGAAAAAAGTTTTGTTTAATTTGACTTGTTGATGACTGTACCTTTACAATCCATAAATCTGTCAAAATCAAATGAATGAAATTCTATAGGTTCTATGAAGATTAAGGTGATTTAAAAAAATGCTATAAAAATAGCTAAAAATACACTAGCCCAAAAACCCTAACTCAGAAGAAAACTATTTTGCATAACACAAAAAGATCTATTAGTAACTGATACATTACTATTTAAAGTATTCATAATTTAATAGAAAGATCTATGCAGCATAAAACAAATTTTTATATCATCTAAGTAATTACATGATTGCATTGTTTGATTTTGAAAAAAAGATCTAAGCTCTTTTTCGCAATCGCAATAATATCGTTATTAACACTGAATTTTTGCGAATATAACTATATATATATATCTCATTATATTGATATTTTTAATCATATTAATACCATTAGTTAATATATTACATTGCCCTTCGTAGAAATATATTTCGTAATAAAGATCCAATCCACAACAAATACATTTTGCAATAAAGATCCAAGAAGAAATGTTATGATTGAATTCATATATGTATAACTTTTTTATAAATAAATAATAGAAAATACAATCACTTTGAAATAATGTGGGTTGGTCTGGTTTGCTTAACTACGTTCAAATATAGTTAAGCATTAATTTAACTTGCTCATTACAATTTGTTTTATTTTCACATTTAAATCGAAAAGCTAAAGAAAATCTGGTTGTGTTGTTTAAAATTAATCGCCTATGTCCTCTGTGGCCATTTAGATCTCCCATTTAGTACCACAAATAAATTTTATATTTTAGAAGAAAATTCAGAACGAGCACCATTGGTAGCACAGAAGATTGACTCGTTAGCTAAGCTGTTATTTAACAAGTCGCTGATGGGCACTAGTTCTGGAAAATCTTCACCGTCAGAACCACCTGCATCGCCAAGGTCAGTTAAAGAACGGCTATATTAATATCAGTTAAGAACCATGAGATAAAGATAACGTGTGATATGTGACGAGCAGACGCGCTAAGACAATATTATACAAACATGTTATCGTCGAACTATATTTATGTATATACATACACTATTTAAAAAGGCGTTTGCAGTGATGCAACTTTGATTTAATTTAGACGTGGATGACTCGAATCAGCGAGGCCATCTTCTTTCAATACCTAACTGTACCCCAAAATTCCACTCCGTCATGACCCTAACGGTGCTTGAAGAAAATTCAATTAAAATCACCCCACAAAGCCTCAGGATCTCTTAGTTCCGAGGCCTCGCCCTGATCTATTTAATAATTTTAATTTATTTTCAAATATATAGTATAAGTTTGTTTCAAAATTGGTAATGAAAAGCATGAACAAACCGGCGTTATCGAATCTCGTACCAATTACGGACAAACAATATCTATTGGAATGGTGACTGTTATAAATTAATTTTTAACAATTTCTGTTTCAATTCTTCCTCATCTGTATAGGGTAGAACGTTCCATGGAGTGTTCAGCTGCACTGGCCATTTGCACAGAGTACTTATCTCAAACAACAAGGTAAGGGAACTAGATTGGTTAAATTAATTTAAATCTATATCTTCACGCTATATCCCTTACGGTGTAGGCAGAGAAGACCGAGCGCCACAAGGCACGGTCCTTACATACATCTTTCGCATCCGCCACTTTCATATATCATTTAAATGAAGTACACAATAACTCGACTCTAACGTTTGAGGTCATATTCTGGGAGACGGTTACATCTCCAGTCAATGTTACTTATCATTCCGTATACGGCTTATAAAGAGAGTTAGAACGAGTTTAGTAGTAGAAGTAATTGGGATAGGACAAAACTCGTTCTAATGATACTAAGGTGCAATATTTATAATGTCTAATTGTAACAAACTCTACTGTTAATTAATACAAAGATACGTTTAATTAATACAGAATATAGCAATTCTAAATTACCGTCTTCATGTTCTTGATAATTGTAAGCCCAGGTATTAGTCGTACGTCACTCATATCTGTTTTTCAGGTACAACTTAATTTCTCAGTTGGGTGCAATCGGTGCGCGATCCAATAAACATTGGTTTGCAATACACGACAATTCTATCAAAACCGACAGACTTCTCACTCTGGTAAATAAACAATTCTACTTTTATAGCATCGAATCTTTTTTTTCTGGCTTTGCCTTTAATTAAGTTTACTATTTCATTTCCCGATGGAAATAGTTGTTTTGAGTACTATTTCTAATTTATCATTAGCTAAAATTAGTTCCCGAAATGATAGAGATGTTTGAAGATTGTCCAAGTTATATGACAAATTTTCAAAAATAAATTATTATCAATATCAATATATTACTTTATATTTTTTTTCTTAGATGCCTCTGACGAACAAGTGTCCTGTAGAAGCAACCGATCGTTCTCGCAGCCTCATTCTGGAATTGTTTAGAGCTCTCCATCATCCTTACATCTATCCCGTTCTGGACTTGGAACTTTGCAACGGTCACGCGTTAGCTGTGCTGCCGTTTAACGCGAGAGGCAGTTTGAAAGACCTCATCTATAAGGTGCGTTGGTTCAGCATTTTCAGTGACCAAGTCAGTGATATCCTGTATCAATTACTAATCTAACAAAATAATCCCACGTTGGGCGCCACTTAACCATGAGATAACTTATTATAAAAACAAATCGATGGATTGAAATTCATTCTGATTAGAATTTATTTTCAGCCTATTTTTATCGTAAGACGGATATCCTATTAATAAGACTATACTGTCCGTCTGTCACCAGGCAATATCTCATAAACTGTGTAAATATATAAGGGGGCTCCCATACAACAAACGCGATTTTTTTTTTGCTCGATTTCGGTACGGAACCGTGGCCACTTGGCTGATTTTTTCATACTAAAAAGTAACTTACTTAATAAAAGCTATGCGTTTAGAGTACATGGAATGACGAATACGGAAGAAAATATGGGTCGGTTGGCAGCGGTCTTCCGGCATGGCAGGTGGCACGCTTCGGCCGCCAGATGCTGGAGGGGCTTATGTTTCTAAAGGAGAAGGGATTCCCGCCCTTCAGACATTTGCATTCGGGAAACGTTGTCGTTCAGAACGGAGTGGCTAGGTGAGGGTATTTGCATCTTATCTATCTTATATTTTTTTACATCATCATTTTTAACTAAGACCTATAGTTTAATGTAAGTACAGGCTTTTTAAGTCACTAATCCAGTTCTATTTGTCTAATTCGTACTAAATAGGTATTAAATTTTACATGAATTCGTAAAACAAAAACTTTGGACCCCTGTTACTTATTGCGCAGATTGTTAAAGTTTATATACCGAAGAAGTGTAAAATGCTTATTTGATATATACATATAAAACTATATTAATTAATTTTAATAAATCACACACTACCATGGAACATATTTCATACATAATATGCGTTGGCACGTTTATTTACCGCGTGTTAAATAATCATAAAAAATATTGTATTTCAAAATATAAGAGTTTATTATAATATACTAATTTTATGGGGATGACGATTTTTTTTTTTTGCTTGTCTATCATGCAGATTAGAATAAGCACGTATTAAAAAATAAAGTAGAGCGATATGTTTGAGTTGAAATGTCGCATCACGTCACGCCTTTGTATATTTTCTACATAGTTGTGACGTAGCGAACCCCCACTCCTCAAATTTAATGCCTATTATCTAAGCCATTTATTGTTAAATTGGAGCAAAAAATAAGTATCTGTTTATTTTTCTATTATTTAACTAACAGACTAACGGTCAGTTGCACAAACTTTCATTAAGGTTTAATGATGTCCTTAAGCCCTAATGAATGTCAAATTTGTATGGGTAATGTCGCTTTAAACTAATGAAAATTTTAATGGACATTTGAGCAACTGGCTGTTAATATATCTTCCTTTTACCCAGGCATCATTCCCTTTGGGTTACTAGTTAATTTTATAAAATTCGTCTAAGCATTTGTTATCATCTATGGTAGGATATGTGGTCTAGAGAACACGCTGATAGGCGTAGCGCCGCGTTGTCCAATCGCATTAGCGGCACAGTCTGAATGCGTGGAGCCGATGTCTCTGGGCGGTGTGCTGTATGAGATGTGCGCCGGCGCAGAACTAGACCTCTCCATGTTGCCGGACCTCGCTGCTAATTACCCGCACGTGAGCGATCAAAAACTGCACTCTCATACACTACACATCACAAACGTAGCTATAAAATTAGAGGGCCGTGCTAAATTTCAAAAGAATAACGAAGATATGTAGACTGTCTTGCAGCGAAGAGTCCCTAGAAATAAAGAGTCCTTAGGTTATTACAATATTTTGTTTCAAAACTTTATTCAATACATTACTAGCTGAGCTCGTTCCGGGCCGGGAGCCCTTTGGTCTCTCGGTCACTTTGTAATTACGTCACTACTAGGCATCAATAAAAATAGCCGTCTGACTGTCAATTACCATTTGAATAAAACTGCACGAATTATATTATTTATATGTAACTAATTACGCGGTAGTTCATACTTTACATCTCACATTGCACACATTAAACAAGACACAGTGACAAGTTTTAAATTAAGAATTTGTAGCTCTTGATAGTGACCGCTAGGAGCGCTGTACCGAATTCCTTACTAAAATCCTAAAGCGATCACGATCACGATGGACGGTGAACGTAAACGTCAAAAACACTAATCGCTCAGATCAAGGTGAAAATAGACGATCAATTTATTCAGGTGGTGGAAATAATCGAGCAGATCTTCGGACCCCGAACACCCACCTTGCACGAGTTACTACTATGCGAGTTGTTTCGCAAGATCGACCTACGGGAGATGAAGGGATCCTGTTTACCAGTGAGTTATATCACTAGCTGTTTTGCCGTGACTTCTCCCGCGTAATAATTATACTATAGCACCGTAGGTGAAAGAACTTGCATGATTGGATCATACTGCCGAAGCTTACAAACAAATAATGTTAGAAAAATTACCATTTTAAAAATATTAGTATAGATAATACAATAATACTTTTTACCAAAATATTGGTCAGTCTGATAACAAATTATAGAGTATCTTGAAAATTTTATACAAAACTTGTGTTGATTAAACAGTTTTGTCTTAGAAAGACAAGTCTGTCTCAAATTATCTTGACTACAATGTGCATCATCATCACCAGCCTTTTTACGTCCCCACTGCAGGGGCTCAGGCCTTCCTTATGTATGGTTAAGGAGGTTGACCCATAACTCTCCACGCTGGCCCAATGCTGATTGGAGGATATTAATGACTGCAAATGCAGCCGGGACTAATCTCTTACCATGCATTCCTAAGCACGGAGTAGCTCGTGATAATAATTTTTGGTCACTCAATACGCTATCGAGCTCACTTCGAAACCGATTTAACTTTGAGAATCCCTGATTAATACTGTAATATTGTATTAAACCCTTCGGTAATAATAAAACTACTTATCTATGCTATGACGAAAACTATACTAAATAAATAATATCCCCCAAAACATTGCCAACGGGTAAGATGCCCAGAAGACTGCGAACGATTCCTCTTTGAATTGCCAAACTAATTCTCTGGGCGAGGTACAAACCAGCCTTCCGTTCACCAGACTTGACAAAAAGTTTATTCTTTATCTCTTGATATAAACGATGGATTCTGGGCCGCCACGGACCCATCATTTCGACCCCGAACAGCTAAAAGGTGTAGATATTGCTTATTTGATTGTGTTTCCGTGTAGAACTTCAGCCAGCGTCTATCACGTTCGTGCCTGTCGTTGTTGGGGGAGGTGGCGCGTCGCCAGCCCGCCTCCCCGCGCCGCTCCGGCCCAGCCTCCCCGGCTACACCCCCAGCGCGGAGGTAATCAAACCATTTCTTACCCGTCTAGTCTTCTACCTGCGGGCTCGATGCCGGTTTACACTAAACTTAGGAGTCGCCCAAATCTGTCGTCCACATATCAAGGTGAAAATACATTTCACTAATGACTAGAAACCACCTAATGACATCAAGAAATGTCTAAAGTTATAACATGCGTTAGCGTAGCCTTGCGCTAGGCATTTACATAATGACAGGTCACAAATGGGTCGAAGGATAAAAAAAAACAAAAAACGTACTTAATGAGGACTTAAACGGAAATATATATTTTTTATTCCTACTAACTGATGTTAGAGATCAATTATAAGGAATAAAATAAAGCGAAAAAAGATTAATAAATTTAACATGGCATGTGCGAGATTTTATTTTATTTAAGCACGAAAATTCAACGACGGCCTGCGTTACAACGTGGGCCTTAATTGACACGGGTGTCATGGACTGTCCACTAACTAAATTCGGGAAATTTTGGAGCGTTCTTATAATTGAGTAAATGTAATATTCGAGAAGTATATGTGCATCAGAGGCAGTGTACCTCCGTTGCACCATAGATTATAGAAAAATGCGTTTCTTTGGAGTCATACCAGCAATTCGAAAATAGATGAAATTTCGGTTTCATGGATACAGAGTAGGCCTCCTGGGGCAGACAAAAGTAATCAAGGATGCTAATTTAGAACTGAAAGACTATCAGTTACAGTTGCAAAAAAGCTTTTTTAAATCGTATAAAAGTTTTTGTTTTGATTAAACAATATTAGACAAGACACACACGTTACTTAGATTCCATTTGAGTAGATAAAGCGCGTATTATGGAGTATCTGAGAAAACGAAGGCACCATAACAACCAGACCCGAGACCATAAATAAAAGACAATTTTCTACATTGACCATACCGGGAATCGAACTTGGGACTCTCTGATTAGGTGACACACTGAAACCGACGTGCGAACTATAGAGGAAAAATAGACTAACGGCCGGTTTCAAAGAATTCTTAACAACCCAATTTTTTACGTTTCATAAGGTAAAGAGATCTAGTTTTATCAAACTGCTATTAACTGATCATTAAAAAATAAAATTTAAAAACGACAACTTGTTTAAGTGACGTTTAAGAGGTTTAAGTACGGTTTGAGACATGAATAATTTAGAAACCGGTTGATATTATATAATATATAACTGCTATGTTTTCATTTCAGGAGACATTTTCCATTAGATCAAGAATATACAGAAGAATGGCAATGGTGATATCGCTGAGTACAATAATAGTGCCATATATACTCAGCACGGCATTTGAAAATATAAAAAGAAATTATAGAGTTTATTCTGTTGTACATACTCTACAATTTGAAAATAATATATCTATCTATCTCTATATTCAAGAAAAAAGTGACAGTTGCAAATGCAGTTAATTTAAGCTTTTTTGACAAAACTTTTGAAAATATCGAATTAGCCAAGAATAAGATCAAGAAACAGTTTAAAAATGCAAACAAACGATTTAAAAATTCTATAGTTGATTAATTTTTCTTCCGTCTGCTTTTTTCTTGGGTTACCTTATACTTGATAGAAAACCTTGTTCTCAAGTAAAAACAATTATAATGTACAAAAATGCTACTGCTCCTATTTAAGGCCACATAAGAGGTTACTATTGATAAAAAAAGGTCAGTGTGTAGAACAGAATCCAACGGAGTAAGGTCATAAACTGTTTAGTAATAAAATATGCATTGTATACCGATTTGTGTTTGATTTCAAAGTATTGCAAAGGTTGCAAGTCATACTACCACAATATGACAAATTTCCTTACTCGATTTTGTACTCTACCCTCAAACAATTAAGGTTTGCATTCGAATGGAGAAATTTGACCGTTTTGTACAACCTGACGTACTGTTGACTGTATATATTCCAAACTTTTATTTAGTTTATATGTGACCAAATCTTGCTAGTTTGACCCGCTTACCGGTTTTTGATTAAGCTGAAATTTTTATTGTACATAGTCACTTAGATTATAATAAGCAATTTTATTAACTAAATCTTCCATTATTGTCGATATTTTAATAAAAGTTTTGAATAAAATAAAAAGATTCGTGTCAATTAATTAATTTATTGATTATTAAATTAATACACAGCCAATTTCCAATAAAATTATAATTACATCGTGGGCCAGATAAGAGTTGGCCTTTACTTTACAAGTACAACGTCATACGAAACGTAACGTTCATGAAATGGGCATCATTGATGTAATTTTCGATTGTAAGCGGCGGTCCAAAACAGAATTGAACCAAGTTGTATAACATTTAGCTCAAAATGGTCAAGTACTCAAAATGGTCAACTTAAGCGGTAGACCAGCAAGCGAGATAGAAATCGAAGAACATGCCAATTTTGCTTCAGTTCTGCATCATCATCATCAGCTTTTTAATGTAGCATTCAGGCCTCTCTTTTGGATGGAATCGAATAGGAAGAATGGGCCATATCACCACTCGCCACCAAAGCGGATTAATGGGTGTTAACGACTGCGGTTGCAGCTGTAGGTGCCTCCCGAACTACGCAGAAGCTCCAGACAATACATTTTTATCACACATGCAATGACAAGCGAACATAAAACCTTTTGGACAAACTAATTTATTCATCTGATTTACTGCCGCAACAAACATTTTTAATACTAAAAACAAGTTACGAGTTTCGTATGACGTGTGAATTATAATAGATATCAACTATGAAAAAAAATCCGTCGCCGATACACTCACTTCCACTGGAATTAAATTTATAACAATGACGCCTTTAGTAACTTAAATTTATAAATAGAAACTACTTCTATGTTACCGAATATTAACAAATATGGTTGATTACACTCACATAGTATTGTTAAAAATACCTTCAACAAATTCATTGATATATTTTGAGATAGTTAACATTTAAAAAACATTACAAAAAACTGTTATTCAATTTATAAAGTACTTTTTGGTTGGTAGTTGGTACTAACACATTATAATTAAAATCACATCCATGATTTTGCTTTATGAATATGATTGCTAACAATAATAAGAATTGTTATTTATAGTAAACAAAATATACAAAAGTAATTCCACCGTTAAATAGTCCTCTTTTGCCATTACCAGTTATACATATGAAAATATATACAATTCAGAATAAATATTTCCCACAACATTATTCACTTCAATCAAAAATGATACAAGCACAATGTCGCTATACAAACTTACATATTTAAGAACATATTTATAACATTTCCAACGTATTAGTATCCGCAACAGTTATTATAATTATTGGGAAGTGATATAATATTCGATATTCTAAAGCCTTATTGAATGATGTTATTGAGAAATAAAAAAGTTAATATAAATATATTTACAGATAATTACATACCTCAGCAACAAAGCTAATGTACCTACACATTCATTCGACTTTTATAAAGGATTAACAGGATATTTTCGCTCTATAATAATCCCAATAAATGTTGTGACTTTCAAAGAGTTTGTATATATATTTATATGGATACTTGCGTGATAGCATCGGGTCAGCCGTAAGCGACTTCTTCGACGATGGTCTCCCAGGAGTCGGTGGAATCAGCCTCCCAACTGGAGTCGTCTTCCTCATCCTGACCTTCTTCTTCATCATAGTATGCGAGCTGTAACGTTACATGAAAAGATTTCTATTACTACGCAACATAAAGCGTCAAAAATATGTTTTAGCCAAAAAATTAGTCATATAACAATTTAAAAAAAAAAATTATGAAAACGAAGAAATTAATTGTAATAAGAGATAGGTTTGCAATACGGGTTAAGATAGTAAACGTAAAGTTTTTTTTTCTGGTAGTGTTTATTATGTTATCACCGATAATCACACTTTTATGCTTATTTTATTTATAATCTTGCTTAAATTGATTATGATAATACAAATATTTTATACTCGTTGTCACGTGACCGCAAATAGCGCGTGACGACACGCACATAAGCATAAGGTATGCATAAGGATATGCATATATAGAATGTTATTAGTTTCAGAGAAATTCATCATCAGCATCATCATCATCAGCCCTTTTAGGTCCCCACTGCAGGGGCTCAGGACTTCCTTGTGGATGGTTAAGGAGGATGGGCCATGACCCTCCACGCTGGCCCAATGCGGATTGGAGGGTATTAGCGACTGCAAATGCAGCCGGGACTAACGGCTTAACGTGCCTTCCGAAGCACGGAGTAGCTCGAGATAATAATTTTTTGGTCACCCATCCCGTGATCGACCCTTGCGAAAGTTGCTTAACGATAACGATCGTGGGCCGCGGCGCTTATCTACTACGCCACCGAGCTACTCGACTACTTCAGAGAAATTATGAAAATTTTTAGATTTTAACTCATTGTATAAATGATACATTTTTATATATTTAATGTATATCTATAAATTATAAATTTTATTACGCCTATTTGTTTAAATCGAAAATATTTTTTAAATTCATATTTTTGATCCAACTGTGGTGTAGCTGTCGTATTCTAAATTAGGTACAGTTTATTGGGTTTAGAGTTTATTTATATTTTTGCACACAATCCTTTGATAAGTGATGATATATGAGAAGACAAGTCATTTATAGGATGGGTGACATAATTTTTTTTAATTAGCCATATTATTTTGTACTGGCCCACTATGCTTTCTCAAATAAACAACTTGCCTCATTCTCACTGAGCTGATGTACCGTGTGGACCCTGATTTGAAACATCCAGGCGCGTCCTATAACCGCTACGGTGCCACTCAGCAGCAGCGGCATACTGTACCGGCAGCGCCACGCCAGACCCATCAGGAAAATGAACAGACTCTTGCGTCCAGCCGTCATTCTCTGTCAGACAATACAAAAGCTATTACATTCGTCTACAAAATGACAATACTTTCAAACATTTTTCACAATGAGAATTTAAATACTTAGATAGATTTTTCTTAAAAAATCTATCTAAATATTTAATATCTTAATTTTAGTAATCTACCTATATCGCATTAGGTACACAAAATAAGAAGAGTCGCGTTCATAAAAAAATATTGAATTCTCATGTCGCCCGCGTAGATTATAGTCTGTGTCACCTGCATATGATATGTAGCTTCCCGTAAGTGAAAGAATTTTCGTGATCCGAGGGCATTTCCGAAAATATATTTATTCCAGCTTCTCTACTTAATGAAAATGATTATTGTTTTGAAGGCATTGACTTGAACGTAAGTATGGAGATATAGGTTTTTGTTGTCACTCTGCACAGTTCTCAGGTACAGAATTCTAGTCTCCGATCCGGCTTGAAGGATCAATTTTTAATACTTAATGTGTGCCTTAAGGTGTACTTTATTTATTTTAAAGTTTTATATAAGGATAAACCTTATAAATAAAGTTTGAGTTTTACAAATATAATCCAATGAATTTGTAAATCTTTAGCTGAAATTTTTTCTTTTTAAACATTTCTCAAAAAATTAGAATGGGACCTTTTCGTTTGAAAGAGTATCCTCAATAAAATAATCTTTGGATAAAAATAAGAACCATCATAATCTCAGTCCAATACTAGCGAAGATATTGTGGAATATTCATTTTAAAAAAAACATTTTTTTAAGTCGATCAAAAATAGTTTCAAGAATAAAATAGCTGGAAAATAGATACAAGGTATACAGGTTCCATTCCCAAACTGAGAACTATTTTTTATGCATGAATACATTATTTTTCACTAAAATCGATCGATTTCCTAATCTAATAACGATCTTCCTAATAACAGATCTTCATATCATATAGTTTCAAACTTGGAAGCTTTCATTGCCACGCCGCCTTTACGACATAAATAAAATACATGTTACAAAACAATACGAGGGTCAAACTGAAAGTTCTTAGAAAATCAAAAACTGATTACATTAGCCAGTTATTAGTTTTATTATATCTTTTCAAAATATTGTCCATTCACGTCAATACACCGCTGCATGCGATGGAACCACTGGGAAAAGCACTTTGCCCACTCGTCCTTAGGGGTCTCTTCAATGGCATCGCGATACGCAGCCACCGCTTCTTCAGCATTCATAAACCGCTTTCCTTTAAGTTTTTCTTTAATTTTTGGAAATAAATAAAAATCACAAGGCGCGAGGTCGGGGCTATACGGCGGGTGACCCAGTAATTCAACGTTTGATGTCGCCAAATAGTCGATCGTTCGCTTGGCGGTGTGCGACGAGGCGTTGTCGTGGTGAAGGAGGATCCTACTGCGAGGTCGTTTCTCTCGAACTTTTTCCAAGACAAGTGGCAAACAATTGGTAGTGTACCATTCTGCAGAAACTGTTTTTTGATCCTCTAACACAATTGTTGCAAAATGACCTATCCTTCCAAAGAACGAGGCCACCATTTTTTTTCCCGCACTTCGATCTCTCTTCACTTTAGTTGGCAACTCCTCGAAAGGAAACACCCACTGAGCAGATTGTCTTTTGGTTTTAGGATCATAACAGTAAATCCAGCTTTCGTCACCTGTTAGTATGTCGAACACAGCATTTGAGTCACCTCCGTTAAATCTTTCAATCATTTTACGACACCAATCCACACGATGGAGTTTTTGAGCCTCAGTCAAATTATGAGGTATCCACCGGGCGCAAAGCTTCCTGACCGCTAAATGTTCGTGGAGGATTTTGTGCACTTGACTCATACCGATGCCTAAGCTTGTCCGAATCTGTTGATAGGTCACTCTTTTGTCAGTCTCTATCATACGCCGCACAACACAGATGTTATCTTCAGTCGTCGCCGTAGAAGGCCGTCCCTCACGTAAATCATCAGTGAGATTAGTGCGACCACGTTTAAACTCATTAAACCAGTTGTAAACAGTCGCACGAGATGGGGCTTCATCGTGAAAGGCCAATCGTAGTCTATCATAACTTTCTTGTTGACTTAAATGACATCGAAAGTCATAAAAAATCATTGCACGAAAATTTTCTCGTGTTAAATTCATGATGACGTGACACAGACAATTTTCAATTTGCCGCCAAATCGTAAAACAAATGACAAATGAATGAAATATATACTCAGTAATATTGGCAAAGAGTTATATTTTCAAATTTTAGAATTATTTTTTTATTATATTGTTTATAAGTGGCCAGTTCTAAGAACTTTCAGTTTGACCCTCGTAAATGGCAGATTTTATAGATCTACAAATTAGCTTATATTCTTAATTTTTTCTGGAGTAAAATTATTTATTAAATGTTTAATCAGAGGTAGAATAAGGTAATTTTGTTTGCTGCACCAAAATCTAGTTGTAAATAGCTCTCTGATATAAATGCCTATATGTTCATGATGGAAATAATAATTTTTCTAGAGGCATGTTTGCTGTGTGATCAGTCCTTTACTTTTGAAAGTAAGGAGAATTTCCCAGAATTTATAAAATTGCAACTATTTTAAACTTAAACAGATTAGTGCTTAGAATGATTGTAAAATATATATATATTTATTTATTTATTTTTAATTAGGTTTTTGACAGTAAAATATTTTTATTTAATTACTAAAAATATAGTTTTGTTTAAAAATTTCATTAATTTGTTTATCTCATATTTCTAATAAAAAATTTCAAAAATATGTATTGCGCAATTTTATCCATTACCTACTTTAGAAAAAGAAATCATTGGATAATATCTGATAACAAAGTTACATCAGTTATTGTACTACACAAAAGGTTAATATTAAGAGTTACTAGAATAAAGGTCAAACAAGATAAGGTACAAAATGAATGTAACTCATATTTTTCTAAATCATAAAAAAGGTTTAAGGGTACATTAAGAAAACACATAATTAGAAGCTTTTATTTAATCATTAATATGAATTGCATTCACATTATATAATATACATACATCTATAAGCAGGAATGACAGAAGGAATGTAGTTTTTTGTTTTGTTATTTTGTCACGATAATACAACATGAAATAATGCAGGAAAAGGTATACCTACTGCTTATAAGTGCAACTTGAGCTAAATGATTGTAAATAGCTTACTATATTCAATATCAAAAGTTGATTATGCAGTTTACGATGACAACTATGTTTCGAATTTATAATATAATACAATACAATGATAATAATCAGCCCCCAACTTAATGTTAAGTTTGGCAACAATTATCTACAAGTATATAATATATAAAAGATGTTCGTATGAAAGGTATAAACTTTTAGAAAGCCTTAAGAACTAATTAAAGTTTGATTATTCCAAATTGTTACTCATCATCAAAATAATCAACATGTTCGCCAGGTGAAAATTTTCCAGCGAGTAGAACTTTCATGCATTTCTTTGCAGTTACTTCTGGCTTCAAAAGCGTGCCCTGGTTTTTGAATGTATGGAAAACATCCTTTAAATTGTCATTCACAGCTTCATCAAGAACGTAATCTATCATAGAGGTCTCAACTGGCCCTGGAGAATAATTAAGAACTCTAATATTCTTTTTCTCTTCAGCAAGGACTCTGAAATACATTTCTCTTGCCGCTTTGCCACTGCAATAATAGGCCATTCCACTCATAGGTTTAATAGCGCATAAGGAAGTTATATTCACAATTATCATCCTGTCTTCAACCTCCTCAAACAACTTAAGGAACTGAGTATTCAGTGTAATAACATTAAAAACATTCAGATCATAGTAAGTTCTCAATTCCTCAACATTCTCCATGCGCTGTGTCTCCACAGATAAATTTCCAAGTGAACCAACATTATGGAATATCAGACCTATGTCAAAATCAACAACTTTTCGTCCTTCCAATGGCTTCTCAAGTACATCAGACATTTCTGTCTTAGTAGCTTTTGTTAAATCAATTGACTCATACACAACTTTGACATTATTGGTTTCACAGAGAGAAGCTGTTTTAGATAATTCTTGTTTGTTACGAGCCAACAAAATCAACAGTGAATTGGGTCCAAGAAGTTTAGATACCTCAATGGCTATCGCTCTGCCGATTCCCTGAGATGCCCCTGTTACAACACAATACACAGATCCAGACAGGTCAATGTTAGATGATGATGATGCCATAGTTACTTACAATTACTCTAACTTTTCTTAATCCTGCAGTAATTTTTCAGCTTCTGTATCTCCAATGACCGGCTCCAAGTCACAACCGTCACGCATCAATCGATTAATGCAATCAGCTCTATAAGCCGATAAATTCTCCACCACTTTATTCTTCGATCTGACTGCTTTCAATTTTCTCTCTGAAATGACACAAGAGATACTTATTAAACTAGGATGTGGTTAAAACGGCAAGCAGTATCATATTGCGCGCTGTAAGTGTAATTTAATATCGCAATCACATCGGTTTTTATCATGACACATTAGGAACTACTTAAAAAGTTATTAACGTAATTTTGAGGTTCGTAATTACCTAAAATGGCGAGATATTCAGCGGAGTCAGAGAGTTTTACAAAATTCTGGCTTAATGAAGTGAAATCGTCTTCAAATTTGGATTCTACGACAGCAGCTTTTACTTCAGAGCCCCAAGGATCCATCAACTCTGAAAATAACGCAACACTAAGTACCACTGTGTAGAAACAAAGAGTATTGAAAAGTGTGTAAAAACTGACTTACAAAAAGGCTAGAAGCCAATTATGAATGGAAAGATATTGAATTGTTTTAAATATCGGTATTAGAATGGAAAAAAAGGAAAATAACTATGAACTCGCTCTGAAGGACAATCTGACATTAATTTAATTAGGGATGTCAGGGTATATTGGTAAACCGGTACATATCGATGTGTCGAATCAAAATATTGATATCATAAATATTAAAATATCGAAACTAAATATCGAATGAAATCTAAAGAGTAAATGTATATCAGTTGTCCAACGTGTGATGACTTACATTGTTATCAATCCTACTGTTTTAACAGTAGATTCGCTTAATACTACTTTTTCGATTTGCTGTTGTCATATTGATGGACCTGTTTTCTGTTTTTCCAAATTTTTACTGTTTTTCAATAAGAGTTCAGCATCATCTATGCAAATATCATTCGAAATAACCGATTGTTACTCATTTGAAGTTACAGAAAAGCAAATAAAGAAATTCAACAAAATTATGTATGATTTAAAAAGGAAAATGAGTCAGAAAATACAGAAGATGAGGCAATTGAATTTGAAAGTGGAAAATAATTAAGCTTATTATTTTGTTTCATTTTTCTTTTATTTTTAATTTTATGATCAATATTATAATATAACAATGTTTGTAAGTTCTGATAACTAATAAAAGTATATGTTTGTTTTAATTCTATGGGTAGGTGGTAATGTATGAAATATGCCTTTTTTTATTTAACCTTCTATTTTCTTCTGTTTTTATTGGTGAGCTGTCGTTTTCTTGTTTCTAGGAATTGGCAACACTAATGACATATGACACCTTATTTTGTGCACTGAAATTTACAGTACATTACTATTTTATTATTTGTGCTTAAGTCATAATATTATGTTATTTCCAATCAAATCGCAATATATTTAAAGACATTTTCGCATTGTGAACAAAAGTGTTCCTTCTGAACTTTTTTTTCCAAAAGTAGGACACATAATATAATAAACTTGAGAAACGCTTTGTCTACATAAAACGTCACTTTTACCGGGCCGAGAGTATGATAAAATATGAGTGTTCATATATATAGGGTGATATCCTTGTGATATCGTATATGTGCACTAGAGAAAAGTGACATTTGAGTGCAGACAAAAGGCTCTCGTGTTCGTCATGCTACGCGGATAAAACAGGCTTCACGGCAATAGGCTGACCAAATTACTGTTCCTAAATTCATTATCTGCTACCGATTTATAAAAAATAAATTAATGATAAAACACAAAAAATATTATGTAAATAAAATTCATATTAAAACAAAATACTTTGTATTCACTTTGAAACATATATCGGCTTTGTGAAGCGATATATTGACATAGCTGGCATAGCGATCTCGAAATATCGATATTTTTATTGAACCTTGCATTTCTAAAAATGTTGTCAGAAAAGAGTTAAATTTACCCTATACTTACTTACATATTATTTCAAACTATATTGTAGATATCCGTTTTGTTCAAACTAAAGGTAAACATTATTTACACGTATTATGTTTATCAGTCGATAACTTTTAAACTTAACTTTAAAGTCGGATTTACATTACGAAATTACCATCAAACAAATACCATCTTCTAAATTTTATTGTATTTCACCACAGATTTTAAACACTCGAGAAGACAAATAATACTTATAGATTACAAATAGGATAGGGCCAACTACATTTCCCCGAGGATCATCAGTATAAGATTATTTCAATTTGTTGACCAGTGACATAATTGTTTAATTTTTCAATCTTTCATAATCATTTTCAAACGTATAGCGGTTGTGATAGTGATTTATAGAATTATGTAACTTTTAAAAACACGAATGATGATTTGCTAACTTGGGGCAAGTTTGATTTTTCTTTGATTCTAAATTGCTGCGTCAAATATACGAGGCAAGTTTGTGACAATGTCGCTGCAATATTGTTATGTTAAATATGAAGTTTCATGTTTGCGATAATATTGTTTGAATATTGTTATGACAAAGATACTTGTTTGTAACACACCCATCATCTTCATAGGTGTCCGAATAGTTCTAAGTCTGCAAACCAGATGGCGCTGTTCATTTAATGCATCATGGTATCAGTTTATATTGTTAGATTGTATTAGTAATATGCCGTTTAATGTGATTTTAATATGGGATTCTAAACTGAACTTTCCAGTTAATAACTTCGGCTCCCAGGCCAGGCTCTGTGCTGTGGTCTGAGTTTAAAGTCACAATGTCGCTTTTGGACCAAAAGTTTTGAATGATCAAATGATAAATAAAAACTTAGTAAACTTAAAGTAATATTTGCCTCGAAACCTGTATTCCAGGTACTCGAGTACCCGAGTACCTGCCAGGTATTCGAGTCAGTACCTAGGAAGATTATCATTACTACTACGGTAGTAGTAATAATAATTTTCCCAGGTACACATGCACTACCTTTGATACGTCAAAGGTAGTGCAAGTTTGTCACACTACAACTAGAAAGTTTGATTTAAACTTGCTGCAAGTTGCTGCAGTTGTCATGGCAAACTTGAAGCAAGTCTTCTTTTTTGATGTATTAAACTTGTTGCAAGTCAGAAACAAGTTTAAATTGCTATCTGGGAGATAATTTATTTCGTTTTGTTGTCGTTAAGTTGTAAAATAATCTTTACAAATTCGTATGATTGTAATTTTTTTTTTATGGAATAGGGGGCAGTCGAGCAGACAGATCACCTGATGGTGAGTGATTACCGCCACCCATAGACACCTGCAACACCAGAGGAGCTACAAGCGCGCTGTCGGCCTTTGAGGGACGAATAAGCTCTACGCTTGAAAGTTTGAAGGTTGTATCGGTCCGGAAATACCGCTGGCGACAAACTGTTCCACAGTTTGGCTGTGCGAGGCGGAAAACTTCTAGAAAAATGCACAGTTGAGGACTTCCAACCATCCACATGATGGGCGTGGATTTCTTGTCGCGTGGAACGATGGCGGAAAGTAGCGGTAGGTATAAGTCCGAACAATTCCTCGGAGCATTCCCCGTAATAGATGCGATAGAAGATGCACAGTGAAGCAACATCTCTACGCAGGGCCAGTGGATCAAGCCGACTTGAAGTGTCCCGGCAATCGACGATTCGAGTCCGCTGAATGCGGTCTAAAGGGAGAAGCTGGTATTGGGGTGCACCTGCCCAAAGATGAGAACAGTATTCCATATTGGCTGACGCAGTTAGGGGAATATTTTGAAAGCGAGTTGATACGAAAAAAGGGGCTTTTTTGGCGGTGAACGCGCAAACCCGTGTCTTAGTAGGGTTGAAGTGGACCAAATTAAGTCGACCCCAGTTAGAGACTTCCTCTAACGAAGATTCAATATCAGACACAAGTGGATTCCGGCTCTCAATGACGCTTTCCCGAGAAATATTAGCACGACCGTTATAGGTGGAGTCCTTCGTGCTGTCATCCGTATAACAATGAATACCGCTAATTTGCAGCATGTCATTAATATGCAGAAGAAAAAGTGTAGGTGATAGTACACATCCTTGGGGAACACCAGCATTTATATACAGTAGGTCGGAGCATTCACCGTCGACTAAAACCTTAATACTTCTCTCTGCCAAAAAACTAGTGACCCATGCACATAATTTTTCGGGAAGCCCATACGAGGGAAGTTTTGATAGAAGAGCTTTATGCCACACGCGATCGAAGGCTTTCGCTATGTCCAAACTTACTGCCAGGGTCTCGCCCTTTGTTTCAATTGCCTTAGCCCAGTTATGTGTCAAGTAAACTAGAAGATCGCCAGCAGAGCGACCACTACGAAATCCGTATTGTTGGTCACTAAGCAACTGGCTATCCTCTAGGTACCGAAGGAGTTGGCGGTTGATAATGGACTCCATTATCTTTGAAAGCAAAGGGGTTATAGCGATCGGCCTGTAGTTGGACGGGTTCGAGCGGTCACCTTTTTTTGGGATCGGATGCACCAAAGCAGTCTTCCATGAGGTTAGGACGACGCCAGATGAGTAAGAGAGCCGGAATAGGCGCGTTAAGACCGGTGCCAACTCTGGAGCGCACGTCCTTAGCACAATAGAGGGGATACCATCGGGCCCACTCGACTTGTGGATATCGAGGGAGAGTAGTGCTAGACGCAGTGAGCTCTGGTGAAACCGGATATCTGGCATAGAGCTATTGCACCGCGGAATGGTGGGCGGTTTCAGCCCCCGGTCATCCAAAGTCGAGTTGGATGCAAAGAAGTTACCCAGGAGATCGGCTTTCTCTTTTGCATCATAGGCTAATGAGTTGTCTTTGTGCAAGGGTGGAAATGAAGGCGTGCAGAAATTACCTTGAATAGATTTGGCAAGAGACCAGAAAGCACGCGTCCCCGAAGGAAGACGTTCAAGCTTCTCGCCAATTCTACTAATGTGCTTCGCTTTCGCTCTTGCAATGTCTCTTTTGAAATGTCTGGAGGCAAAGTTGTATTGCTTCTTCATGGCGCTGGTATTTTCATCCCGTAACAATACCGCATTTGCCAAGGCTTGGTATGATTCCCGCTTTCGATGAGAAGCCTTTCTTGAGGACTGACCAAACCAAGGTCTGAATCTGCCACCAATAGGGACAACCGAGATGGAATGAAAGTTTCCATACCCTGAAGCACCACATCAGCAACAGACTCGGCGGCGTTGTTGGGATCATCCGGCGCGAAGCAGATACGTTTCCAAGGGTAGGATGCAAAAAAGGACCGCAAACTCATCCCAGTCTGCCGACTTGTAATGCCACACACGGCGACTTCGTGCAACACGTGGTCGTTACAAGCACGTGAGTGGCACTGTACTCCTAATAAGGCAGTGGTCCGAGGAGCCAAGTGGAGCGTCAACAGATATGAAGTAGCCATCGGGATGGGAGGTCAACAAAAGATCCAACCGTGAAGGTTCATGACTCTCGACATCTGGGATTCGCGTAGGCGTAGTGA